CGTCATTGTTCAAGGCCAGCTGCCCCAAGGTCATCCAATACCTCAGTCAGCGATTACAGTCACGTTGACCTGCAGAGACTTGACCTACTTCCACTTGGGGACACACACGTGCGTCTAGGTTCTGGCGGCCGCACAAGCAGTACTCGAACATGTCCCTTATTTCCCACCCTTGGCCGCCAGACATCATTTCGGATCACGCCGCTCTAGCGGAAGGTAGTGCTATCCGTAGTCAACCTCTTTCCTTCTATTCTTCGTTCCTCTGCGTACACAATATACTGTTCCCACTATTATGGCCTCCACCGACTTCTTCTCTACTAAGTAACCATGGTGTGAAGATCACAGTTGCTAGGATTGAACTTACTTAACCCCCTGCGATAGACTAATGAGGAGTAGTCGCCAAATGCAGATGTGTACGCATGAAAACACTTATGTTAATGCTTTAGAGCAAAATGGATCCTAAGAGCAACGACGTCTAGGGTACCAAGCATGACCTTGTATGCACATTGCAGGGGATCAGAAAGAAAGTGGAGGAGAACAGCGTGATTGTGTCTAAGGTAACTTGTTCCGCAAGTTTCAGAACAGCTGAAGGGCAGGCAGTTGGACGAAATAGATTTGACCAAAAAGTCTTGACTGTTTGTGGATAAGAATGGTCCTTACTTAAAGCCAGTCGACCAAAATCCTGGACTGAATGAAGGGCAACATGATAAGATGTGTTAAGACAGGAGCTAACTGAAAACAGAAAGACTTTACCAGAAGTTTTGAGACACCATCTGGCGAGGCGGCTTTTGAACGTCGAGGCTTTTTAAGCAGTTTTACCAGTGTCCTCACAAACACAGAGAAAAGATACTTGGTGATAAGGATATGTAGCTTGACAAAGGAGAGGAGACTGAGAGAATGCAGATAACATTTGTATTTGACCAGTCTAGATCACTATCGACATTTGCCTGTGTGCTGCGTCGGCCAATGAGAGGCTTAGGATTTATCGAAAGGTTAGCCGAGGAGATGATCAAAGTAACGCAGACCTGCTAATGCTCTCACGCTGGAGCTCGAGTTGGCAGATGGAGTTTTCGCCATCCGAGTGTAGGTCCATGTGTTTTGGTCCCGCCAAGCTTCCTGGACCCCTTTAGAACGATCCACTATAAAGGGCTCAGGTCTAAATTAGACGAACAAGCTAACATTATCGGCTCATGCGGATTGAATTTCTGAAAGGTTGCAAAAATATGTGGTTTTATATCACATAACTTCTTCCTGCCGGAACTAAAGTTAAAGCTGTACCGCATGTTTTTTCTTACCATCCTACAATAATGCTATCCCCTCTTTGGTCTGATAAGCACAGCTGATCGCGGTAAGGTTGAAAACGTTCCGAGAGTTTTTACACAAACAGCATTTTATCGTTCTTGATCAAGTGAATCTTATACACAGAGATGTCAGTTAGCGAAAATCACAATTCCTTGCATTAGAAGACTCGAAACCGGCCTCTGCTTCCTGTTTCGCGTTACCTGTAACCCTTTTCTCAAACGAATTAACGTACTCACTCTCATTCATTTCCACATCTAATCATTCACTTGTTTTTGCCTCCAAATATGCCTTCCTCTGGGATAATATTCAAATCGAAATTAAGTTGTCGTCTACATTAGCACTTTTCACAGCTAAATAACCAAAACATTTAGCTTCGGAAAATATAGCGTCCTTATTATCCGTTTTCTTCCCAAACAAACAACTTTTAGACTTTAAAAAGTGCCCTCCTAGTACTTGAGGTGGTTCCCTTTATAGTAAATTGGGTTCCTTTTGCCCTTTTTGTGGGAACAGGAAAAAACGAAGGACCTTCTTGCGTGACAGCTAAGTCCAGCCTGGAACAGCCCTTCAGTCTTCGCGTGATATCGAGCTATCACAAAATTGGTGGCCCTGAGCTTGAACGCCCTAAGCCTCCTCACAGGCTCGTTTCC